ACGAAGAAACTTTGGGCATGTTGAGAGAACGCTACTGGATACCGGTATAGATGCTGGCAGAACATTGGCGGAGAAGCCGATCACAAGAGGAGTGCCAACATGAAAAAAGGGGAGGGGGAGATGACAGAAAGCATTTCAGACATTGTTCGTCATCCCACCAGGCCTGATCTCCCGTTGAGGAGAGATGCGTGGTGGAACGATTAAGAATGGCGACGAAGATTGAAGATGTGATCGTATCTAGGATCAGTATAAAAGGCGGTCCATATAAGTCTAGAACTGTTAACTGTCGAACCAGTGGGGCTTCGCTGCCGAGAGACGATGATTTAGCAAAACCGATCACTATAGAATTGAATAGGAAGGTATAAAGTTAGTAAACCCCGATGTCAACTTTAAAACAAAGTTAAGAGTTTAAAATGAATAGGACGACATAGTGCTCTTTTGGAGATTAAGGGGTTGACATATGTTGGATCGACAGAAGTGTAGCGTTAAGGGCCCTAGATAAGATACATACCTCTTCAGTTTAGAGCGACGATCAAGCATGGCTTCTGCTAAACGGCCCTCTTTCTTCGCCTTCTTCAGGACCTTGCTATCCTCCTTGGATACAACGGATCGACCGGCTCCCCACGCCTGATAGATTCGGCTATTATAATAAGCATGTAGTTTGTCCGAATAGAGAATTGATCGATTGTTGCATTCATTTGCAGTGAAGGTGGTGGATCGTGGGGCAAACACATCATCAAAGGGTCCACGAACATAGAGAGGTCGCCAATCAGTCAATGGACGATGAAAATTGAAAACACAAAGAAGGAAAAACGGAGAGAAAGGGACTTACTTTGTCCCTGCTTCGTCGATTCTCGACATTCCTTCGGTCACCTCCTTCCTTTTTCGTTCCTCCTCTCCTGCTTGTCGTTTAAATTTTGCTTGGACTTTTACCCACCACTTTTCTTGAAATCCGACTGATTCTGCATCTGCACGCAGGCTTAGACTACCGCCTGCAACCTCGTCAAGGCCCAAATAGTTGCCATACATGTTCTGGAGTGCGACACATCCATCTTCCAAAATCATAGGCGTCCATTCCTCCTGAGGGCCGCGCGCCTCTCGATCTGCAGAGACAAGGCCATGCTTGTCCGAAGAGATGAATTTACCCTCGGGAGTTCTCAGATTTATGGTCTCTGTTCCTGCCACTCGAGTGACGACCCACACATGTTGTACTTCTCGAGGATACAAATCCTTGATCGTCACATCCTCGGAAGTCTCCGGATCATGTAAAGAAAGTGCCGGAAGACTTATTTTGTTCCTCGTTTGATCATATGCTATGCAAATGGGAGGGTCTGAGCCATGGTACAAGAACGTTGGACCAAGGATTTGAGCTGGTAGTTCTGGAAGAACCCAATCTAAAGATAAACAAAAGACAGTCAGACCAAGATCCAATTATGACGTTCAACGCCTGACATTAGAGAGGCTATCATTACCAACCAGTGTCATTTTCATTGTTTTCTTCCTCTCGCTTTCGTTTGCGCGACCCAGACTCTTCTCCTGCCTTGTGCTTTTTGTTCGATTTATCCCCTTTGA